TATCACTGGAACAAAAAGAGTTCTCATATTTCCTTTGTAGGCAGCCACTTGGAAGTCAAGTAGTCTACAACATCACAGTAGTGAGAGAGACTCCTCATATACCTCCAGGCAGCCTTGAAAAAAAGCACAAAAATGCCATCATGCATTTTTGTGCATTTTCTTTACTTCATTCTCCCCAAAGGAAGACAAAAGTAGTAGAAATGAATCGTGTCAGCATTCCTTCTTATCCATCTGATGGATTAGAAGAATTACTGAATGTGTAAAGATTTAATGTATCTGTGTCCTATATCCCCATAGGTATATCAATTCATATAGAAACAAGAAAAATAGAGTGCTCGTAAATTACCATTCCTCTCAAAACCTCTTACCAGTTTTTACTGACATCTCCAAATAAGGATGGACCCTGGAGTCAGCACCAAAAGAGTATCTTTACTCCAAATATATACGAACTCTCAGGTATCCATAAATAGCATCCCTAAGACAGTTATCTAAGTACATGCTCCCCTTCACACTTCCCTTGAGATAATCATTTCTCTTTATTCATTACATGTATTGTCTGTGTTACTCTATTTTACCCCTTACTCTGTAGTATGAAAATATACAATGACCAGGTTCATGATCAACAATGAAAACAAAGAAAACTTAGATTTTAGAGAGCCTTTGCAAGGTACTTTATATAACCAAAGTATTTTCTTCATCTGTCTGCTTGGATTCTAAAAGGCAAACAAAAGTGAAGAAATAAGGTCATTGTTTGAGTAAATAAAACAAAAGTATCATCTTTTTTGTGTGTCTTTTTCAACTACTGGATTTGATTCTCCAGTTCTGTTTGCCTATACAGACCTGACCACAAAATGCCAATCTGGCCTTTTCAATTTCTCAGACACTACCAGTCACTCTCCATTTCTGAAGAGAGTAGAACAGTGAAAACATATTTAAACTACAGAAAATACAGGGGATTTAGACCAGCCACAAAACATCCTTGGCAATAAGAACTGTACCCCCCAAAATGCATTACAATGAAAGATACCAAAATACAAAGCTATCTATTAAAAAAAGAACCTATTTTATAAATTCTTTTCTTTTTATTGTATTTTTTCATTATCAAAATACAGTTTCATACAGAAAAATTCATTTTTAATACAATTATCCTTGGCACTGTACCCCCCAAAATGCATTACAATGAAAGATACCAAAATACAAAGCTATCTATTAAAAAAAGAACCTATTTTATAAATTCTTTTCTTTTTATTGTATTTTTTCATTATCAAAATACAGAATACAGTTGAAAAATTCATTTTTAATACAATTGACACTAAGATGCATATGCATTTCTAATCTCTATATATCTGATTATTACTAGTCACAGTCGGTTACTTTCTGAGCTCCTTAGCATCTGAGCATGGACATAAACTCATCAGGTAGATTTCAATGGTAACGTTTTTCACATCTACCAATTATTAAGGAGCAAATATTTATGCTTTGAAGAATTTTTCTATACAACCACTTCTCAAGTAGCACCCTCCC